TTGATATAGCGGTTAGATTTTGTTGTTTAGACACTTATACTGCTGTGAGGTTGAATTCGGACGATCTAGTAAGTATCGCAAACGCAAAAGACGAAAGGTGACAATCATACAACAAGCTTACGCATATTCATCTGGTTCGGTTTAGGGAAGAAAGTTGTTGGTTCACTCTACTTAACTCTACTTACAATCCCGTGAGGAAGAAGATTAAGGAGGTGAGGTGAACCCAGCCTGTAGAAAATCTTAAAAACTTCTCTTCAATTTCAGAATAGCCATTCGAAGACTATTCCCTCTGATCTCTCATTTTTTACTTTCAAGTTTGTAGCATTCTATTTGCGTTCAAGATAATGCATATAATTAGTACCTTTAGAACGGCCATTGAACGGCAAGGGGAGTTTGTGAATGTCGAACAAGACGCAACTCCATGCGGAGGAAATTAATAGGATCATTGATAGAATGGATTGTAAACAACTTTGAACGAAATAAAGACGTTTCTGATGACTGACAAAAACATGTGGAGGAAGACTCTAACCAAGCTATTAATTTGTGAAACATATAAGCCGTGATTAACTGTAGTATGGAACAATATCTTCATTATCAAACTAATTCTTTAACTTTTACAGTAGAGCACTGTGACAATGGTAGCAGTATTATTGTTCACAATTCCTTACGATTTATTGCCTGCAGTGCGCTGGTGCGATTTATAGAGGAAGTGCAAATGTTGCGAAAACGAAATAGATGATATCTTTTTTTATTGGAGGAAAACTATCTTCGAACGATACTTGTTTTCATTCTTGTAGTTATGCTCATGACTAAGTAGGAAGAATATTTACAAATTCTGAGACTAGCTGGTTTTAAAGTAAGAAGCACGTTTATAACTGATTTGACAAAAAAAGACCTGATCTTTACAAAAGATAATACATTCAAATCAGATTTTTTTGAGTTCCATTCAGTAGAAAAGAGGAAATATCTGACCAATGTTTGAGTTTTTCAAATCGTATTTTAGCCAGCAAGAGCCTATCGAATCAGTCTTGTTTGAAGCACTAACTAAGATCGTTAAAAAGAGGATTTCCTTCAAACATCTCCCTAAATGAGCTGGGAACTTTTTCTAAAATCGCAAGCAAGGCTTTATTGTTCATGTTAATATGATACAATATGATACGATGTAATATTCTATTTTACCAAAACTACACGTCCGATAAAAGTTATAGAGGGCGAAGCGAGCATCTTACAAACCTCTAAATGAACTCACTTCACTGGTTACCAATTTGTGT